GAGTGTACTGTTGTCCCTCTTCGTGGATAGACTGGAAAAGTCCTGAAAGACTGAAAGTCCTGGGAAACACCCCTTCTACCCATCTGGAATTAACAAGGAGGCCAGCTAGGGCACTGTCAACATGCCATGACAAACTCCTGGAGCCTATCCCATCATTGAATGGTGTCTGGGCCCCTTTGAGACTTGCAAATATTTTGGGTAGACCAGAAGGGCCCAGGACACAGCCCCTTTGGGTGCCCTGGTCCACCAGCCATCAGCAGCAAGGAAACTGGCCTTCCTCTTCTACAGTGGCCCAATCTATTCATGAGGGACCATTGGCTTGGCTGGGGGTGTGCCAGGCAGCCTGGGGGTGACAGCATGAGTTCCTGCACTCAGGAGACACCAATTCTAGTGATGCCACTGATATAGACTTCCATTCCACCAATAGGATCACAGCCAGTGATGCAGGATTTGAAAGCAAGCATGTAAAGAACATGATATAATTGAATTCAGTAACATACCATATTTACTGCAGCAACCCCCCCCCCAGATAATCCTATATTTCACTATCAGTGAAAGGGTGGCTTGGTGGGTATGCAGTAAATATTGGAGGCTATCGACCAGGCTTCACCTCTCCTACCTTTCTAGATATATATCAAGATAATACCTGTTTGGCTGTAACACGATGGGGATACTTTATTAATTAATTAAAATATGTATTAATAAAGCTCTTTTTATATTTCCCTTTAGCTCTGACAAGTGCACTCAAGTCAGTTTACAGCAGGCAAATCTCAAAACACTTGAAAACTGGGGACTCTAGTCTAGAAGCTAGAGCAGGGATATTCACTGGTATACTAAAAGCTTGCCTGAATCAAAATGTCCTGTCTTGTTTACCCAAAAGAGAATAGATGAAATGCTGAAGAACTAGGCACTGCCCCCTGGAAAGAGAGTATGCTGTATTCTTCACCTGTCATACCTCTTTTGCTTGCAAGAGCACAGAACAAGATATCTGCAGCTTACTGCAATGCATAGGCAAGTTTTGAGGGAAGAAGGCTGCATCCACTCTGCAGAAATCATCCAGTTTGATGCCACTTTAACTGCTATAGCTCAATGGTATGGAATTCTGGGAATTGTTGTGCAAGGCATTTAGCCTTCTTTGTCAGTGAGCACTGGTGCCACAACAAACTACAGTTCCCACAATTCCCAAACCTTGAGCCATGGCAGTTAAAGTGGTGCCAAATTGGATTATATCTGCAGTGCAGATGCAGCCAAAGTGGACCTTTAATTATCCTAGTCTTAAGACATGGGGGTGGTTCTTATCTGATCTTGGAAACTAAGCAGGGTTAGTATTAGGATGGGAGACCACAAATGAATACCAGGTGCCTACTAAATTCTTGATCAAAATAGCAGGTTTCTGGCCAGCTTTGAGATGGGGCATTTAGATGAGGCATACCTTGAAGCTGCTCAGAGAAAGTGCACCCAAGCCATGCTATGGGGAGAAAAGCCAGATTGAAAAGGAGCTAGATTTTTCTGCCTCTTCCTGGAATGTGTACACGTTCTCATGTGTATATATAAATGCCAGGGTGGTTCTAAAGGGGCTCTCTTTCCAAACCCTAACCCTAATTGTGTATGCAAATGCCCCATCGCAGCAGCACATTTAAAAGGGACAGAACTGCTGTTCCCAAGCGGTGAGGATGACAATGCCCCAAAGAGAAACCGTGACACCTCTCATGGAGATGAGTACAACATAGATAAAAGAGACAAAGAAGAGGCATGGGGTGAAGGGGGGCATGATTGTACCTTGCCGGCATTCGCATGGGCACACCTATGCTCTGATGCCCTGTCCCAGTGAAGCGCTGCACATGTGAATGTGTGCAGGCAGGTTCGCAGGGATGGCCATCTAATGGGGTGGCAGTTGGTGGTGGTTGACTCCTGCAAAGGTACATAGGGATGGTTGGGGGAACAGTAAAAAAAAAGAAAGTACTCAGTGGTGCAGCTTGAAGCCACGCTGTTTGGTCATGACATGCATGCTCCAGCTGCCTTGTAGCGGGTGGTGTCATTGGTGGGATTTCAATGCATCTTTGGAAAAGACAGCTTCCAGCTGCTTTTTCCTGCTCATCAGTTTCACCCTTATATTTCAGAGGAAGGGACTAAGAGTATTCTTTACCTAAGAAAATGCTATGAAATTCATGGGATCGACCTAAGTTGAAAGGCAACCTGAATGCACATACACACACAAAACATTACATTCATAGGTTGTAAAAATAAAGGGTGAGTGAGGAAGAAAGGATTAACAGGCCAAGTATGTTTGTTTGGTAAAGTATAATAACATTCAAAAACCACAAAACGGTGATACTTTGCTGTATGGCCAACACGGCTACCTCTGAATCTGTTAAGTAAACTACAAGTGATATACTGCTGTAAGAACTATATAAGTTAAATGTTTCCTGAAGCAGAATCATTCAGCACAAGAGAGGAAAACCCCTTTCAGTCCAATAACCAAATGCAATTTTAGAGACATCCTCATAGACCACATTCTAGTGGCAAAGAGAGCCAAGAGCAAAAAAATGGTGGGACCAAAAGTGCCAGCATACCGGAATGCTCTTACGGCTGGTAATTAAGCCTCAGAAGAATGAATGGCAAGAGCTGTAGCAAATCTGGAAAACCACTCCCGTGGGGAAGGGGGCATGGCTATTTTGGGAACATTGGTGGGCTAAATCCAGTTGAAGGGCTTGAGGTTCCACAGCCCTAATTCGGGGAACATCCCAAACCAAAAAAATTGACCAAAGAAAGGAGGGGTGGACCTTGCTTCTCCCTGGTAATGTAGCGATGTTGTAAACAAGATATTTTGTGTGAAAGGAAATGAAAGAAGATTGTGTTTTGAGTGACATATAAAAAGCTGAGTTGGAGATCTGTGAGGATCTTGTGGTTCTGGCTATCTCCTTGGAAATCTACTGTGACAGAAGACTCCAATGATCTGTTACAGGATTTCAGTGATGCTTTCCTCTAGGCTCCTCTGTATTTGTAAAGAAACTAAATATTATAAAATATCAATGAGACTTCAATAAAAAATTTCCAAAGGGCATCAATTGAACTCACATAAGAATGGTAGAACCTCTCACCATTCTGAGAGGTGTCTGCATCTGTGTGGTGAACAGGCAACAACCACCATCTTGAAATGGACATAGAAATGGTCCCAAAGCCAGTGCAATTTAAAGACAGGTGTAATATGACCAGAAAAGCAGACATCAGATATTATCTTGGCCATAGTTATTTTGCATTAGCTAGTTTCTGGTCATTTTACAAACGCAGCCTTCTAGATAATATACTGCAGTAATCTAATCTGGATTCAACTAAAGCAGGGGTAGGCAACCTTTCCCCTTTAAGGGCCGAGGGACTTCAGCTCCCAGAAGGCTCAGCCATGTTGGCCAATTTTTTGTTTAAGGTCTCCAAATGGCTAGATTTGTGCACCAACAGTCCACAGGAACAGACAGAGGAAGACCACACCAGTCCCAAGTTGCCAGAAAAATTATCCAGGGTACATGGTCAGAAGTCCATAAAGCCAGACACATCAGAAAAGGTTCCAAGGAAGTGTCAGAGCTGTTCGTTTATCAACAGAATAGCCTTGATTAAGATAATTTATAGGCAGGATTAAAGCTGACTTGCTGGCCTTATTAACTCAGTATCTTCTTTTTAAAGCAGAGCAGGGTTTTTCCTGTCCCTTTGCAACTGTCATTTTAATTTATAAATGCTCCACAGGGTAAGATACCTTTGCATCATCCTCATCTGCAGGCACTGTGTGAGATAGACACTTCTGCCAGTGTTATGACAGGAGTACCAGTGTTTTCTAGAGCTGGTGTCTTGGCTCTCTTTTCCTCCTTCCTCATCTGAGGATGCCTCTTCCAGATAGGACATGACAAGAACTAACTTACCTGAACAGGTCATCCACAGACCAAGGCTGCTGCTGATTAAGAAGGAGGATATATCTGACTCATCCAAAATGGCCTAGATTTGTTGCCACTGTCTACTCAAGAATGGTAACAGTTATGAAGGACTGTGGATTCCAAAGAGTGATTTTAGCACCTTTGAGACTAAATGAAACAAAGAAGTTGGCAGCATGAGCTTTTGTAGACTAAAGTCTACTTCCTCAGATGCATATCCAAGGAAGCATTCACATTTTCCATCCCTATGTGGCCACTCTTACCCTGGCCTTCTTAATTCACCAAGATGGACTTGGATACAAAGAACAAACAGTTGGCCTCAGCTCTCCAAATAAATTGATTACAGTCTCAGGTTGGATGGGCTGAAATTCATCCATCACAGCAACTCCAGACACCTCAGACAGACCTATAAATCCTGCTCTGTGTGGTTAAAGAGCATCTGTTCTGGTCATAAGGAAAGGTGTTGTTTATGTTTGTTTTGTACATTGAAATCATTCCTGACTAATGGCAACCCAGGGGTTGGACTGGATGGCTCTTGTGGTCTCTTCCAACTTGATGATTCTATTCTACGACCCTAAGGGGACCCTCTAATGGAGTTTTCTTGTCATGATTTGTTCAGAGGAGGTTTGCTATTGGCTTTCCCTGAGGCTGAGAGTGTGGATGTTATCACACGGGGTTTAAAGCAGTCCCATCCCCGTACCATCCCCGTCCCATTCCGGATCCTTTTCCCCTGTGTTCAAACGATGTCGCAGCAAACCCCGCCCCATCCAGTGCCATCCCCAGCGCATCCCCGTCCCATTCCGGATCCTTTTTTCGTGTGTTCACACGACGTCGCAGCAAACCCTGCCCCATCCAGTGCCATCCACGGCGCATTACGACATCATCCCCGTTCTTTGCAATTCCTCTTTCATTGAGGAATTACATCTTGCCGCGACCAGAATCAATCCAGAACCATACCAGAATGATGCTGCTTTCTTGTCTGAAGCTACGGGGTCTATTCCGGTATGGCTTTCTTGCCGCTTTGAGACCCCGCGTGTGATAATGTCCTGTGACTCACCCAAGGTCACCCAGTGTATTTTATGACCGAGCTGGGAATCGAACCCTGGTCTCCAGAGTCATAGTCAAACACTCAAACCACTACAACATTTGCCCTCGAGTTGATCTTGACTCATGGCAACCCATGGATGAGACATCTCCAAGACC